CTGCTAAAACATTTCTCACATTTACTACACTCATGAGGCCTTTCACCAGTGTGACTTCTGTGGTGGTCCATGAGCGAACGCCTTTGCCTAAAGGACTTTCCACAATCACTACACTCATACAGCTTTTCTGCTATATGAACTCTATGGTGTAGAATGAGGTTAACCTTTCATCTAAAGAACTTCCCACAATCACTACATTCAAAAGGTTTTTTGACAGTGTGAATTCTCTTGTGTTTAGAGAGGTCACTGTTTCTCCTGAAGGACTTGCCACAATCAGCACACTCATATGGCTTTTCTCCAGTGTGAACACGGTGGTGTTCAGTGAGAAGGGAGTTTTGCCTGAAGTACTTTCCACAATCAGTACACTCATAGGGCTTTTCTCTAGTGTGAATTTTTCCATGTTGAATGAGGTGAAAGATTCGTTTAAAAACTTTCCCACATTTGTCACACTCATATTTCACTTCTCCAGAGCAGGCACCCTGATGATGAACAACTTCTGGTTGTGGCTGAAAAATTTCCCACAGTTGCAATTCTGGGGAAGACTTTTTCCACCAACATAGTCCTGTGAAATCTCACTTCCACTGTGTGGCTCCTCAGTGTTGAGAGGGGCCTGGTGCTGGAGAAGCCCTGACATGGCTGGGAAGACTATCCCAACCTCCCTATTAGTTGAAGGCACCCAAGGTAAGTAGAAGCTGCACCTGGTCACAAACGAGGCCCTGTACATGCCTTCTTTCCAGGGCTTCTCTCTACGGGAATCCCTCTGTTGCTGGTGAGGGTTTGCATTTAAACAGAAGTCTCTCACACACGTGTCAATGAAGAAGGCTTTCTGCTCAAAGTCTGCTGCTCGTGACTCACTCAGGTGCAGAATATCTTTTAAAACAGACACACCGCTTACACAGATGGGTCCTCTGGGATGCTGGAGCTGTCTCAGAAGCCCTGAATGGTGACTCTCCTTGTACACATACACTCTGCTCAGAACAGACCTCCTCCTCATCTGTTTTATGCCAGCAACCTGAAAAGAGAGAAATGAGCAGAAACTGAATGTTGACTGTGGTGACAGGGGAAGTTCCATTGGCAAAGTGTTTTGCACATAATATATGGGTTCTATGCAATTGTCTGAAAATAAGAGATGTGCAGGAAGGATTAATAAGCAGCTGCTGTAAAGGTCTGGGCCTTTGATGGTCACAAAACAGGGAAGACCTCACCACAAACATGACACACACATGACAAGGACCACGTGGAAGAGAAGATGCATCTCCAGCTCAGTCCTCTGCTAACAGTGCTCAGCAAGGCTGTTCTGCTGATGAGAGGGGCAAGCTGTGCAAAATGTTAGTTATGTCTTCTTCCAAGTAAAATTCAATAAACCAGTATCAGGGATTCAAGGACTACTTAATCATGTGTACCTCATAACACATGTGCAAGTACATGTAGGAGACTACTGCACAGGGAGCAAGGCAGAGGGACAGGTAATGCAAAAAAGTGACAAAGGTGATAGTAGCCATAAGCCAGGAAGTCACAGATGAAATGCAAGTCAGCAAAGTGTCAAGTATGGAAAAGAGGAGGTAGAAATGGGGTGTAGCCATGGCACTTGCCCCTAAACACTTTTGGAAATTAAATTAGCTGGTCCCTGGTACCATCTGACCACCACCATTATGTGATACCTTCCCCCCAGTTGTCACTCAGCATGGCCAGACCTCCTCTGAGACCATCTTGCATGTTCACTCTGTAGGGAACCAGGTTTCTCCCTGATCTTCTACTCTACCAATGAATAAACCCTAACTATTCCAAGTATTAATCAAAGACAATGGAGGAGAGCAGCCAGCTCTGGCCCAGAGCAATTTGGCCCGCAACAATACTCAGTTAAGATAATAGAGCGGGGCCTTGACTTACGAGTTCAATTCATTCCGTGACGGAGCTCGTAACTCAAATTACTCGTATGTCAAATCATTAAAGTGAACGAGTGAGATATGTGATGCTGGGCTGATGTTGTGGTGTTCACTGTGACGTTCGCTGCGCCAACTAGCGGTGGGGTATCTGAAGCTGGCTTGTAACCCGAATTTTAGCTCGCAACTCAAAGCAAAAAATCGGCTGAGAGACAGTTTGTATCTCGAAAAACTCGTTAATCGGGACACTCGTAAGTCAAGGCTCCAGTGTATTACAAACAACAACTGGAGAAGGGTCTTAAAAGAATAGCCGATGGCTCATGTAAGTGAAGAACATAACCTGGCACAGGCTGTCATAAAGCACCTTTCCCTATAGGAAGGGGGAAGAAGTGAATAAATGTCCATATTGTCACCCTCCCAGGGAGAGGAAGAGGAAGATGGAACCCATTAAGCTGCCTGTAAGACTCCCACTTTCCATAGACTTTTGGCACTTTTTGAGGAAATGGGTGTCAGGGATGTTCCTAGGTCCATTGGTCAGGGCTCTCCACACAGCTCAGCACCAGCAGCCACAGCACATTTGACAAGACAGTGATGGAAATTAGCAAAACCCATGGTCTGGCTGTGGGAGAGAGAACGCTATGTTTTGAGAATAAAGGAAGAAAAGGCATCACCTCACAAAACTGGTACAATGTGAACATCTTACCTACAGATGAGACAAGTGCAAACACTTCCAGCATCACATCATGAAGTCTCTGAGCCTCATCAAGGAGCCCTCACTCCTCCTGAAAGAAGGCAATGGCCACGTCCTCAAAGTCCATATCCTGTCATAATGGAGACAGTTCAGTCTAAGATCAGCTTCTCTCCTAGGTTTTCTTTCATCATAGTCCCCACTCTCCATATCCATCTGCTCCCTCTAATCCCACATCACAGAAAACAGCAGGCCTTGCATCCACCAGTCACTCTCTCCTTATATTCTTACTGATAATGTGTCTTCCCACAGCAATAAAGCAGATGCCCAGATTGATTATACCTGACCTCAGGGCCTCACATTTAGGATCAAAGCAATGGGTGTCAGCAACATAGGGAAGATAAATGTTGGCCATGAAGAGAGATGTGAGTGATTTGACACTGGTCTTGTGGGGCAATATCCTTGTTGTCCAACAAAGTCTCCCTCCAAGACTCCAAAAACATGGCGTCACTTGTCACCTTTTCGATTCCAATCCTAAGGTGCTAAAGCCAACACTTTGCACTACCTGTTCCACATAATTCTTTGTATCCCACTTCTCTCATACACGTTCATTCCCAGAGTCACAACTTCAAAGGAGAGAGAAACACATATACACAATGAAGAGGAGGGGATGTTCCTAATCACCTTCCTTTCAACATTCTAACTCTCCTCCTCTGCAATGTATTTCTCTCTTACCTTTCACCCTTCCCCAAGCCAGTAGAGATTTTCAAGCCCAGGTGACATTGATGTATCCTATCCGATTCCTATTGATCACTGCATTAGCCAAACAACAACAGGCAGGTGTGCACCTATATGACACCTAAATACTGGAACTGGCATGTAGCACCACAACACCCGTCGTTTCAGGAATTACCCTAAAATTCTACATATTTTATCATCCAGTTATCACCAGAAATAGACTCAACCTTCAATCCCTCTATGTCAATATCAGGGATCAGTGGCTATGAATTCACCCTTGCCGGGGTTCTTGTCCCAGCATCAAGAAGGATTCAGGAATCTGGAAAAGGCGCTGTGTGTAGTTGACATAGGAATCCAGAGACTAATAAAGAGTCTGGAGATGAGATATAATTTTGAAAGGCATTGGGGGTCAGAGGACCTTCAGCTAAAGGAACTGAAGACTCCCTCCTTGTCTAGGACCCTTGCTTTTATTAACACAATTTGTCCTAAGGAAGGTGGAGATAATGCACTTCAAAGGGTACAGAAGCATTGTCAGTTTGGGGAATAGCCTACGGCTGTACAGGTGTTTGGCCAGTAGGAGGCAATAACATGTAGATTGAGATGCCTTTTAGCTGTTTGGCAGCCACAATCAGTTTCCTATTCAGGTTTGGGGAAATGCCTTTAGCCATTCCCAGATGCAGGTGACTACATGTGTGACTCAACCCAGTTGAGTCCCCAAGTTTCATCAATCTTTTGATGAAACTCTTGAAATTATGACATGCTGGAATTGGTTTATGGCACACATTCCCTCTCCAACAGCACATTACTCCTTCTCCCACATCTGCACTCCCGTAGCCCCAGCTCCCATAGACATCTCCTTGGTCTTAGTCATTACTCAGCATGTGTGTTCCAGAGACTGCATGGTAAGTTCAAACAGCAGAATGTACTAACCTGACTCTCCTTGCTCCACAGCCAAGGCACAGCCTTCAGTTCTGCTATCAAGGCCTCCCTCCCAAATTGCTTTTTCCTTCAACCTCACCTATTGAGAATCACAACAGATCTCAGTTATCCAGAGCCCAACTCTACTGGTGCTGCACTTGATGTCCTTTCTCCACTCACAGCCTTCAGTACTCAAGCCTCACTGCCTATGGTCCTCTATCCCATGCCCAGTGATTCTCACCGATGCCCACTCATGCCCATCAGCAAATCAACCAAACTGGATGCAACAAACCAGGCCACACAAAGGGTCACAAGAAATCCTGATGAGTGTTTAAGAAGTAAATATGCACCAGCCACAGTCTCACCTTTTTTGAATTACTCTTCCACCTCCAATTAATAAAAGAAAAGGTGATCTACAACTGTACCCTGCCCCATGGTCTTTACTATTTTTTTAAGTAGTCGTCATCTTTTTTTAAAAATATATTTTATTGACTTTTTACAGAGAGGAAGGGAGAGGGATAGAGAGCTAGAAACATCGATCAGCTGCCTCCTGCACACTCCCCACTGGGGATGTGCCCGCAACCCAGGTACATGCCCTTGACTGGAATCGAACCTGGGACCCTTCAGTCCGCAGGCCGACGCTCTATCCACTGAGCCAAACCGGTCAGGGCAGTAGTAGTCATCTTGAACTACTCCTCAGAGTTCCAGATGGTCATGAACTGGTCTCCGATACCAGTTCTCTGATACCATATCTCATATCCTAATAGGAAAAAATAAAAGATTTTATATTTCTCATGAACATTACTTTTCCCACTATGACTTTCTACATCTCATTTGATGGTGCTTTCATACCTTCAGGTGCTAAATCCAAACCTTTACATCATCGCTGATTCTCCAATTCTTTTTTTTTTTTAATCAGGAACGTACAAATGTATTTTTATTCAAAAATACAAAATAAATTATCTCTAGGCATGGACAATGACAGCAGTAAATCATTGTATGTTGTCAACTGAAACCAGTTGGTTAGAGTGATTTTCTTGAACATCAGCCAGCCTTTTCTTCAGTCACTTCCTTCAACTGACTTCTCTGAAGTTATAGGTGAGGAGATGCCCTGAGCTTCCTCTCAGTCCTCAGTAATGATGGTAAAGCACTATTACAGGGCTAGAACATGCTGCCTCCCATCCCTCCTCCCATGCCACCCATCCCACCCATCCCAAGGTCCTTCTCCTCTTTGGGAATTTCTGTGACCACAACTTCAGCTGTTGTTAACAGAGAGGCCATGCCACCAGCATCCAGTAAAGCAGTTCTTACAACCTTAGTTGGATCAATGATTCCTTTTTCCACCATATTCACAAAATCTCCAAGCATGGCATCATAACCAATTTCTGAGGAACTTTGCATAATTTTCTCAACTATCAACAATCCCTCAACACTGGCATTCTTAGCAATGGTCATTGCAGGAATTTTTAGTGCTTTCTTAATAATTTCTATACCAATTTTTTGATTTTCATTAGTTGGAGTTAATGAGTCCAAGGCTGGAATGCACCGAAGCAGGGCACAGCCCCCTCCCAGAACAATGCCTTTCTCCACAGCAGTTCGGATAGCACTGAGGCCATCTGTGACTCTGTCTTTTTCATTCACTTCGATATCACTTGTCCCACCAACCTTCAGCACAGCTACCCCATCTGAGAGTTTGGCCAGGCGTTAATTTAGTTTTTCCTTTTCATATTCACTAGTTGTGGTATCTAACTGCTCGATGATTTCTTTTTTTAAAATTAAATCTTTATTGTTCAGATTATTACAGTTGTTCCTCTTTTTCCCCCAATAGCTCCCCTCCACCCGTTTCCCACACCCCCTCTGCCCTTACCCCCCCATTGTCCTCATCCATAGGTGCACGATTTTTGTTCAGTCTCTTCCTGCATCCCCCACACCCCTTTCTCACCCAAGAATAGTCAGTCCACTCCCTTTCTATGCCCCTGATTCTATTATAATCACCAGTTTATTCTGTTCATCAGATTATTTATTCACTTGATTTTTAGATTTACTTGTTGATAGATATGTATTTGTTGTTCATAGTTTGTATCTTTACCATTTTTTTCTTCTTCCTCTTCTTAAAGGATACCTTTCAGCATTTCATATAATACTGGTTTGGTGGTGATGAACTCCTTTAGCTTTTTCTTACCTGTGAAGCTCTTTATCTGACCTTCAATTCTGAATGATAGCTTTGCTGGATAAAGTAGTCTTGGTTGTAGGTTCTTGGCATTCACCACTTTGAATATTTCTTGCCACTCCCTTCTGGCCTGCAAAATTTCTGTTGAGAAATCAGCTGACAGTCGTATGGGTACTCCCTTGTAGGTAACTGACTGTCTTTCTCTTGCTGCTTTTAAGATTCTCCCTTTGTCTTTTGCTCTTGGCATTTTAATTATGATGTGTCTTGGTGTGGTCCTCTTTGGATTCCTTTTGTTTGGGGTTCTCTGCGCTTCCTGCACTTGTAAGTCTATTTCTTTCACCAGGTAGGGGAAGTTTTCTGTCATTATTTCTTCAAATAGGTTTTCATTATCTTGCTCTCTCTCATCTTCTGGTACCCCTATAATTCTGATGTTGGTGCGTTTGAAGCTGTCCCAGAGGCTCCTTAAACTATCTTCGTATTTTTGGATTCTTTTTTCATTTTGCTTTTCCGGTTGGGTGTTTTTTGCTTCTTCGTATTTCAAATCTTTGACTTGATTTTTGCGATCCTCTAGTCTGCTGTTGGGGGTCTGTATAATATTCTTTATTTCAGTCAGTGTATGCTTAATTTCTAGTTGGTCCTTTACCACAACCTCGAGGATCTCATTAGATTTCTTGAGGGTCTCATTAAGTTTATCAGCGGTTTCTAGAAAATTCTTGAAAAGCCTTAAGTGTGGTTTTGAACTCTATATCCAGTAGTTTGCTTTCCTCCATTTCTGTCATTTGTGTCCTGTTCTTTGTCTCCGCATTTTTTTATGCTTCACTGTGTCGATAGAGTGTCTTTCTGTACTAGGTGTCCTATAGGGCCAAGTGGTTCAGCCTCCCCAATTACCTGAGGTAGACACTCTTGGTGCACCCCCTTGTGGGCTTTGTGCCCAGTCTTGTTGTAGTTAAGCTTTGATTGTTTTAGGTGTCACTGGGAGGAATTGACCTCCAGACCAATTGGCTGTGAGAATCAGCTGTGTCTGCAGTGGGAGAACTTCTGTGCTGGAGACACCCCTCCGGGCAAGACTTGCTTCAATGGGGCTTTGGTGCTCTCTGAGTCTGCCTCCTGAGTGTGTCCTTTATGAATCCGAGGAGCTGAAATCTGGATGGTCCCACTCTGACCACCGGGCACAGTGGCTCCTGGATCTCTAAGGAGGTGCTAATCTAGCCTCTGCCTGAGGCTATCCAGCAGGAGCCAGCTGTAATGCAATGCAAGTTGTCCTGGAGCCTTGGGCCAGCTGCAGTTTGTTAGGTAATTATCAGATTGCAAAGGGCCAGGCCTTTCATATGCAAAAGCCTCCGTGGCTTGGGCAGGGCAGGGTCCCAGGGGATCAACAGGGCGGAGCGAGCAGTTATGGCTGCTCTCAGTCCTGCCCTCAGAGGCCCTGCTTCTCAGTGTTCTGGCAATCACTGCAAGCACCCCCGACAGAATGCTGCCCTCGAGTTCTGACCGATGCCAGACAGTCCAGTTTCTCCCGTATGAGTCTGGGTCCCCAGAGACTCGCCCGGAACTGGAGCTCAGAGCTTGAGACTCCCTCCCGATTGAAAAAGACAACCATGTCCTCAGACGCCAACCCTCTCCGCATGCGCCTCTGTACCTCTGTATTTTACTTCCGCACCGCACCTCCTCTGAGTCTCAGTATGCTTTTCTCTTTCCTTCTAGTTGTAGAATTTCCACTCAGCCAGCCTTCCTGTGGTTCTGGATGATGTCCGTTCCGTCTTTTAGTTGTATTTTTGAAGTGGTTGTGCGAGGCAGCAATCTCCAGGGTTTACCTATGCCACCATCTTGGTTTCTCCCTTGATGATTTCTTGAATACGTTTTTCAATCTGAGCCTTGTCACCTTTTCCCTTCAAGAGCATGGCGTTGTCATCTTTGGTCACAACGAACTCTCCAACTTTTCCTAAGTCATGAGGCTGAATGTCTTCTAGGTTGAGAGTCAATCCTTCTTCTCCCAACATAGCACCAACAGTAGCAATAGTCATATCTTTAAGCTGGTTCTTCCTATTGTCCCCAAAACCTGGAGCTTTGACTGCTACAACCTGAAGACCATCTTTTAGCCTATTCAAAACCAGTGTACTGAGAGCGTCTCCATCAACATCTTCAGCAATTATGACCAGTAGCTTGTGGTGAGCATTGGCAATTTCAAGAGCAGGTACGAAGGACTGAACACTAGAAATTTTCTTTTCAATCAACAGAACGTATACATCTTGGAATTCCCATTTCTGACCTTTTGCTGTATTAATAAAGTATTGAGAAATATAACCTTGATCAAACTTCATGCCTTCAGTAATTTCTAATTCATCATTCAGTGTTTTTCCATCCTTTACAGTGATGACGCCTTTCCTTCCAACCTTTTTCATTGCATCAGAAATTATGTTGCCAATTTCTTTGTCTCCATTTGCAGAAATTGTAGCAACCTGAGCTATTTCTTCAGGGGTTGTCACAGATTGCTTCTTAAGTTCAGAAATTACAGCATCAACAGCTAACATCACACCTCTCCTGATTTCCACTGGATTGGCACCTTTGCTGATCTTCTCAAAGCCTTCCTTGGCAATGGAGCATGCCAGCACAGTAGCTGTGGTGGTGTCATCCCCAGCCTCTTCATTTATATTATTGGCAACAACCTGAACAAGTTTAGCGCCAATATTTTTATATTTATCTTTTAAGTCGATGGACTTTACAAGGGTCACACCATCTTTTGTTACTTTGGGACTTCCCCAGCTCTGTTCAATAATCACTGTTCTTCCCTTTGGCCCCATAGTAATGGCTACAGGATCAGCTAAAAGGTCGACACTTTGAAGCATTAAGGCTCCAGCCTCTGCACGGAATTTTAAATCTTTGGCATAAGCCCGAGTGAGATGAGGAGCCAGTGCCCTGGACACAGGCCTTATCTGGCGAAGGACTGTGTGTAAGCGAAGCATTTCTGCTGGGCAGCGGCAGGGCGTGCGGGTGGCAAGGTGGATGTAGGCGGCAAGTGAGGGCTAATCGCTGATTCTTACCTCTCTCTCCAATGCTGAAAATAAGAAAATCCAAGTTGCTACACCTAAATCATTAATCCATAACGCAACTGCTTTTTCCACATCCATAACCACCACTGTGCTCCAGTTACCATCACACTCACCAACACTATCAGAGCAGCTTCCGTCCTGGGCTTCCTACCACCGTCCTCACACCCATATTGTGCATCATGCTGCAGTCACAAGGCGTCTAATGAGACCTGGGACAGGTCACCTGCTCTACTGCTCCAATTACCCCAATGATCCCATCACCAGCAGAACAGAAACTCAAGTGATCACAAAGCTCCTCTGGACTTGATTCCTGTCCCACTGTTTGCAGTTCCTAGTTTTAAAAAATGGACACCTGTTCTTCCCTGAATCAGCTTAGTCTTCACTTCAAGCCTTTGCACATTCTGGAACCTATGCATGGAAGGACCTGCCACACACAATTCCACTGGTTGCCAAAATCAGGTGCCACTGTTATGACCCTTGACCTGGACTTAGGGTTCTGGGTGTAATGCCCAGATTTCAGGATCCCCAAGAAACCACACCAGGGAGCCAGCCATGTCCGATGCAAAACCATAAGAGTCTTTATTCAAGCCTGGGCTTGGCTCCCCTACCCTCCTTACTGACGCAGCAGCAAGTGGTAGAGAGAGAGAACTCTGTGTGGAGAGAGGTTTTATAGGGGGGTTGGAGTAAGGGGAGGAGAAAGGACTGTGGGCACTGCCAATTGGGCAGGCACAAGTCGGTGTTTTGTTACACAGGATGTGGTCATATCTATGGCAACTTCCCTTGATTGTCATTGGTTAGTTTAAAGAAGTCCTGGGTGTGGCTAGCAGAGGTTTGGGCTTCCGGGAAGAAGCCTTGCCGAGCACATGGCCAACGTAAGATGGAGGGCGTAGCCCTAACCCTGGGGCAAGATGGAGGGCGTAGCCCTTACCCTGGGGCAAGATGGAGGGCGTAGTCCTCGCCCTTTCATTCCCCCCTTTGTCTTGGAACTTCCGGCTCAATCATGAGACGGACTGCATTTGTATTCCACCATAGCTAGAGGCCCCTACTGGGCACACAGAACTATCAACTGAACTATCCCTATATGCTTAACAAATGGTCCGGTGGAAGGGAAAGAAACCATTTTAGCTTTAACAACTTCTATTGAAATAGGATTTTTCTTCTTAAAATTCCTCCATGGCTATCAAAAAACCAAATTAAGATTAATTTATCTACTGTATTCAATTTGGCCTGATGTTTGCAAAAACACAACAAGAATGGTAACCGACCACCTTTGCTGGAATCTCATGGTTGAATCTTAATGTGCCCTGTAGGGCCAGGAAGCCAAGCCATCCAGCTGCCATCAGCCTGCCTGCAGTATCTGCTGAGTTAGGTGAATCCCTCACCTGTAGCAACTCCACCTGAGCCCACGCTCTAAGCTTTAAGGCCCATCTCAGTAGCCCTCCTACTCGTTGCGGTCCAGAGTGTGTGGGGGTTCCGCAGGGAAGCAGAGGCATCCTTATTGCTCCCCTTCTACTCTTACCAACCGCCAGTGATGGTAGGGCATGGGCCTGACGCTCCAGCGCCAGCCATCTTCAGGGCTCCCAAGCAGGATACCAGGCTTTCTTCATGGCATTTTTACTGGCTTTAGGTCTTTAGAGCTCAGACAGGGCTCTTTAAAACATGATACTCCAGTCAAAGTTTTCTGTTAATAAAACCACTATTAGGAACCAGTCTTATTGAATCTATGCAAAGAAATGTATTGCCATGACTTATTTAGCATTGCCAATATTTCAGAGGAATTATATAAGGAGAAAAACATACTGATCTGCTCTAAGATTTTCTGACTTTCCTTGCCAATTCCTTTTCATGGATTCTTCAGAATTATAACAAAAACAGTAACTGTTGGCATTAAACCTTCTTTCTATGCATAACCATGCCTCAGACCTTCTATTCCAACTACCCCTGACATGGGCATGGTTACGCAGGCCTGCAAGACAGTATACAGGCTGCCAACCGTCAACTGTCTCTCAACAGAGACCAAAACCTGATGGGCACTCTTCCCTGCCCAGTTGGGTACATACCCTCTTGGCAGCTAGAAACCCTTTACTTTTGGGGTTCACCCCACACAGTCCCCTTCCAGGATAGCCAACATACATTCAAACCTGCAAGAGAATCAAAGGTCAATATAACATATCAATACAATGACTAAAGTCTATTCTTGACCTTCCTATAAATTATCCTTGTCTCTTTGGAGCCATGTCCATGAGGATGCAGGCATTATCTAAGTCCATTATACGGTATTGTGGGGGCTCCCGGTAGCAGGAGTGATCGCGAGCAATGTTACCAGCATCAGGCAGGTCGAGCACGCCATAGCTTGAGCTTGAGTGGGTGGCGTTGATTTCGATCGACGCTCCATTTGGTGACGAAGTCTTCCTGGATCACGGATGGGTCCACTGGCCGGACGTGAGTGTGATGGACCCAGGTCGCAACGCCGTCTACCTTGAGAGTGGTGGGGGTCGTCAGCACCACAGTGGTTTCCCGGTGGTGCCTTCTGACGTAGACCCAATCTCCTGGTCTGTGCTGATCTCTTCGAGAGGTGGGAGTAGGGATTTTCAAAACAGTCTCTTTTCTGGCATTTGATAACCGCCGCTGCCTGCCCTTTAAAATGTATCCCAGGTCTTACTGGACCATCTCAAGGCTTTAGTTCTACCAGGACTGGGGCCCTGGGGGCGGCCAGCCCCACTCCCCCGTCTCTGCCCAAGCTGTTGGGAATTCTTGTAGCCATTTTTCCATACTGCCCTTTACTGGGGAAGCCTTCTGGTGGAGGCGATACTCATCCTCTAGCCCAGGGGTGGGCAAACTTTTTGACTCGAGGGCCACAATGGGTTCTTAAACTGGACCGGAGGGCCAGAACAAAAGCATGGATGGATTGTTTGTGTGAACTAATATAAATTCAAAGTAAACATCATTACATAAAAGGGTACGGTCTTTTTTTTTTTTTTTTAGTTTTATTCATTTCAAATGGGCCGGATCCGGCCCGCGGGCCGTAGTTTGCCCACGGCTGCTCTAACCTCATGGTCAGGACCTGAATGGGGTGGCCCCTCCCATCGGTGGCCTGAGGCCCCCCTTGTCTGAAAGTTATTTGAGCTCCAATTTTGGTCAGTAGGTCCCGCCCCAATAGTGGGTAGGGGCATTCCAGTATCACCATGAAAGAGTGGGGATACCAGCCCATTCCTAAATCTACTGTTCTTCGGGTAGTCCATGAATACTGGCTCATACCAGTTGCCCCTTGCACCCAGGACTTTTTGTTCGCCAGTTTTCCTTGCAGGGTGCGGAGGACCGAATGTTGTGCCCCAGTGTCGACAAGGAAGTCAATGGGGGTCCCCTCCACTTTAAGAGTTATCCTGGGCTCGGGTAGGGGATCCGAACCCCGACTCCCCTAGTCACTCAGTTCATCCAGCTTTATTCCCAGCCATTTTTACAGATCCTAGGGCCCGTTACCTTCCTTTAACCAGCAAGCCAAATGACAGTGGCCTGTATTATTTAATTCAGCACAGGCAGGGGGCCCATAAAATCTCTGCCCCGAGGAACTGTGAGCCCCACCCCTAAATGTCCCAATCAGACTAGAAAAGTCACAAATACCTTTTAGCTAATCAAAGTCCCTAGCAAACAAACAGCCTTAGATTAGCAATACATTCATATTTTTAAGAGACATAAACAGAAATTTCATTAGTTAAACAATTTTAAACAACAAAGATACATATTTAAGCAATACAGATCAATTTACAGAAGCAGAGACAGCATGCAATCCAAACCACAGTTTTGGGTAAACACATTATCTAGAGTCCCTGGGTCTCCAGAACACTGAGTTGACAAGTTAACTGGAACCCTCCGACCCTGGGACAGCTGTGCTGTCCCTCCCAGGCAAAGGAAAAATGTGCCCTCTAAGATCAGTATGAAACCACAGTTTCTACCTGAAATAATCGTACTTTAGAAATTGGATTACTGCTATCAGTCCCTTTTAAGACTTTGACATAAGCTATTTAACTTTTGTTTAGGGAGGGAACATATAACCTTTAATTGCCCTTAGTTTAAGGAAAGCAGGGTTTTCTAGATTTAAGAGATTAGCTTAAAAATAGTATTAAATAAATCCGAGAGGCAAGCACACTTTCTGTCCCATCCACATTTCTGCAGCAAAACTCCGCCTTAAAGCTCCACCCCTGACTAAATCAGAGGGAGGGGCCTTTGCTGTTTCAAGATGGCGGCCCCCAGGGGAGTGGCAAGTCATGTGGCTGTATTGCAGACAAACAGAAATCTCATTAGAATCAGACCGATAAGCAAAGGCATTTAGTTAACACAATTACACAATTTTTCCCAATAGCTGGCAAGTTAAATATTCAGCATTTCTCAATACTCAACCAACAGATTTAATTCTGTCCTCTAGACTTTTCATGAGGCAAATTAGAGTAAACTTTACTTTTTACTTTCAAGCGGCTCTGGAAAACCACATTTGAGCCTTGCAAAACAGGTTCTGGCCTACCTGGTCTTTTCAGATGTAAATTGACCACATTCTTTCTTTTAAGATTTTGCTACAGGTGGGAAGCGACTAGCCCAGCCGTGGGCAAACTACGGCCCGTGGGCCGTATCCGGCCCATTTGAAATGAATAAAACTAAAAAAAAAAAAAAAAAAGACCATACCCTTTTATGTAATGATGTTTACTTTGAATTTATATTCGTTCACACAAACACTCCATCCATGCTTTTGTTCCGGCCCTCCAGTCCAGTTTAAGAACCCATTTTGCCCACCCCTGGACTAGCCCCTTCCTTCACTAGAAATTGCCTTGGGAAGCCAGGCTTAGCAATCTTCATTAGCATTTAAAAACTGTTCTTTATTATGGAAATGCCAATCTTTCTGCTAGAATCTAGCTAGCATCTTTTTTTTTTCCCTTTGGGTAAATAATCAGTCTTGGGCTCCATCCTGCACATTTGCAAAGAGACTCCAGCTCAAAACTCTATCCAAAATCGGACTATGCGCACATTCGTTTTAAGCCAGCTTTTCTCTTTACACATGCACA